AGGAATGCTGTAGACAATTAATGTTGACCCAATTAAATCTCAACTTTGCCCTCAAATTTCATTTCCAATTGCCTTCCAATGGAGGGCTTTTCGACGTTTCACTACCACTCAGCTACTCACAATTTCCAATTTCACGGTTAACGCGCAATTGACTTTTGACTTCTTAAATGTCGAATTTGCCCTTCTAATTTTTTATTGATTTCAGCTTTTTGTACTCTCCCTTATCCAGATATAAACCTTCCTAATTCATACTAAAGCGGCTGAGGCTTTTACCTAAAAAAATAAGACTAAAAAGGTGAAAAACTAAAGCTGCTGAGGCATTTTCAATTGATTAAAGACTTTTTAAACAAAATAATATGTCGAAAAATAATGTGACGAAAGTAAGACAAGGGAATCATTACCGCACCTTAACAAATGAAAAAATAATTAATTAAAAATGAAATTTTCGTCAATTTAAACCCGAAGCTTACATTGCTTTAGGTTTTTTTTTTTTAATCAGCACACATTACTTTAGTGGGGCTTCATATCCATTAGCTCCAACTTGAAGGGGATTTGTTTATATATAAATGTAGGCAAGTTATTTATATAAATTGAAAATATAAAAAGTTTTGTAAAATTTAAATTATTTTAAATTATATAATTTTAATTATTAAATAATATTAAACCCTATGATATTGAAACTCTTCTTCTTCTAATAATTTTTATTTTATATTTTGATATAATTTAAATGGTAATAAAAAACTGTTCATAGTATAATAAGTAAATTGACATGAATGAAGAATAGAGGAAGTTAATGTTTCCAAAAGACCAAAATGGACATTTTGTTTTTAACCATGTCTATATTTATGGAAAGATTTACATTAAAAAAAACAAAAGGTGTGTTTAAATAAGACAAAACAAAAATTCAGGACGTCTTGGGCCTATCAAGTCATTTATCGCATGGACCCTACTCTGAGAGCTCCTGATGGATGACTTGATGGTAGAGGACTTCCTGATTTCTTGGGACTCACAGGGGAAACGGAAAAGCAGGTTTACGAGTAAAAAAAAATTAAAACGTTGTTGTTTTTCTAAAAAGAGGTTTTAATTTTCTTTGGCTAAAACAATCGTTCCCATTTTTTTCTTTAGACACGCTCCTTCTACCCTTACACTAATCCAAGCTCAAGAACATAACAAAAAGGAATTTTTTTTTTTCCAGTACTTTAGTAGAATGATTCCTATAGTAGCAAACAAATTCTAAAAAATAAAAATAAAAAAATACGACCCTCTTCTCTTCTGATGCCATTGAGTCGACCTCTTCCTTGTAGCCAATTATAATTTTGAAAAACAAGATTTTTAAGCACTCCCAAGGATGATAAAAATCATTTCAAACAAACCATAGGTGCTCTAAATCTCTTATATCCCTGAAATCACAACTTTGTCAGGAGAGGAGAAACACTAAGTCCTCTCTTAATTGTGAAGTGTAAATCGATTGAAGATGAGGACCGTGCAACATTTGATTGATTGGAGGA